CTCTCACCCTCTCTCTCTCTCTCTCTCTCTCTCTCTCTCTCTCTCTCTCTCTCTCTCAAATACCAGTGCCCAGGTGTGTATGTTTGACGTTTACTTCTCTGTATCACCCCCTGCCTTTCCCCTTGCTTCATTTCTTCTTTTTTATTTATTCTAACCGCTTGACTGGCCCTCAAGCGCGCCGCTGTCGAAATGGCATATTTGTGTTAAATAAAGCGTTTAAGGGGATGATTTGCCAGATTCTCTTGTGTGGTATGTTCCTTCTTTCCTATTAAACATAATCGTCCACATATATCTCCTCCTTCTTTTTTGTGTAACGCTTCTAATCTTCGGTACTTATATAACCTTATTGTCTTGCAAGTGCCGTAAAACTCTTACTAAAATTACACTAAAACTAGGGCGTTGAACTCGCTAAAAAAACATACTGGTCGTTTTCTGCTTACCTATTCTGTGTCCCTGCATGAACTATGTGCACACATAATATACATGATTTTATCCTCCCCTTATGGGAATAATGAAACTTTTATGCAACTCGTGAGGATTGGCCATATGGTTGTGTGCATCAATTATTCATCGAGGGCAGTATCCTGACCTTTCCTCTTCCTATCCTGTCGGACTCTCCGTGGGCTCAGTTTGTATTGTGTAGAATTACTGTGCGGGTGACCCTGTATCAAGTTGACCTATGGCGGGAGGTCTTGGACTACGGTTGTTTTGGGAGTTTTGGTGCTTTCAAGGCACCCCATCCCGTGGACTCCGTTATTTTCGAGATTTAATGTTTTTAGAAATTAAAAAAGAGATAGTCTTTGCGTGCAAAAGAAGGGAGTTCAATTCCCGTGGGGATTTACATTTAATCTAGTACCTCTTTTTAGTTTTAGTAGAGGTTTTACGGCGACGCTCGCAACTGCATAAGGTCATAATATGAGCGTCAGAAGAGTTGAGGTGTTACAAGAGAATAACAAACATAAAAAAGAAGAAGAGGAGAAAACGACGATAGATGTTTCATAGCAAAGAAGAAGCAAACCACACAAGAGCAGCCGCCAACCACTCACATCTGGGTATCTCTGACTTTCTGCCGTAGTACTGTATTATACTGCGCAGCTCAGGCTGTCCCCGACAGTCAGGGTCGAAGCTGCTAGCCTCATAAATTATCGAAATTGTGCCGATGAGGCTGTAAAACATTTACAACCTCGTATCACGGGTCCCTGGGCGACTCTCATGAGAAGCTTGTCGTGCTCTGAACAAACACTCCACGACGTGTGTATTCTGAATGTAAGTGACCGTCCTCCCTTATTGAATGAACCTCCTTGTGAACTTGTGGTTGATAGGGGTTTTCCTGGGATGTGTGGGTTTTTTAAAAACTTCTTCTCAGTTTGCAGTGAGTATTAAACTAGTGATGTCAAAGGACACAGCCTATCGGAGTCTGTTGGATTGAGGATCCACCCCGGAAAGTCAAAGGTACTAAGGACAGATGCACAACGAAAGGAGCAGGTCACAATAAAAGGAAAGGCCCTAGAAAACGTTGAATCCTTCTGTTATCTTGGGGAGCATAATTGACTGAG